CTTAACCGCTTGTTCTGGTTGATCACAGCATTTTAGGAATACCTCATAGAAGTGTTTAAAGTGCCGATGATATGCAGAATAAAATAATTCCATCACATTCAGTTTCCTCGACAACAGGCCACTATTTGTTACATTGTGCAACTATACTCACTTGTATTATTTGTTTTAAACAGTTTGTGTAATGACAGAAAAAGTGGGTATTAGTGTTCACATGGTCGCATGCAGGAAAGTAAAGTCAAAGTCAAAATAAAACTATTGAATACAATCAAACCTGTATAGGTTCCTGCTGGGCCTCACGCTCATGGCGAGTCCACAGTTGCAGTGGGGACCGGTTTCCCTCAGTGCTTAGTCTGTGGCAGTTCCAGCCTTGCTGGAAAAACTGCAGGTGCTTCTGTATGTGGGGCACAAAGCACCAGTGCAGAGCATAGAGATGCACTTCACAGTCAGGATTGAGAAGGCCTTCTCTCTCTAGGTTGAAAAACATTGTGTAGAAGAGATCCAGCACTCCCATATAAACGTCTCTCCAGAGCCTTTCTATCCTTTTGAGGAAAAAGGAAGGAAAATATTTAGTCTGTTAAGTGAACAAAAAAAAATAACTTACAAATATCACCTTTCACCTACCATAAATGGTAAGTACATTTAGAATTGAATTACATTAATTAGAAGCTAAGTATTAACATTTTTGCCGATTTCAATAGGAAAATGTTCCTGATTAAGTGGCAAGTGCACAATAATGCCTCTGGAAAAAAGCTGGAAATTGGATTTAGCAAACAACATTTTGCTTGAGCAAAGTTCATCAAACTTGGGAGAGGTTTTTATACTGTAAGCTTTGTTGAAACTGGATCAGGAAATATATCAGCTGAACATACTATGGATGTATAAAAAAAGACGGACTAATGCCATATTTATGCCACATTAACTGTTGTTGTTCAATATTAATGTAAGGTTCTCTTGACTGGAAAATACATTCAAAATCCAAGTTCCAACAGTAATTTGCCCGGTCATGCAACGTGCTGGGACTTCCACTAAATAGATGTTTGAAAAATATTGTTATCCTTCTTGTCAAATTATACAGTTGGTGTCATAATTATAGTGTTTGTATTATAGAAATATAACTTTTTTTATTTCTATGGTTTTATCTCACAGAGGAAGACGAACACAAATAAAATTTATAATAGCTAAAGACATATAGTTGACATTGCAATCTTTACCAAAGACTTAATTTGATAAAAGTTTGACTTGAAGTTTAAGGTACCTTTGATTATGGACACTCCTGCCAGCAATGTGTGAATTCCTGTTCTCTCCTCGGTTTGCCACCATGTAGCGTGCAACGTCAACATTTTCTCCACCTTTATCTGACCTCACACGTGATGGCACACCGTAGACATTGGCGGCTTCCAAAAAGCTTCTTAAAACTGTTGCTGCCCGATTGTTGGTGGCAGCACTCAAGTACACGATGAGACGACTAAAGCCGTCAATACCACCATGCACAACAAAACGCCACCTAAAGGGATATGTATAGGCACACATTAAGGTCAATCCACTAATGTATGTACAGACATTTACACATTTAAAAAGGTGCCTTATCCTACTAAAAGTTATAATTACAAAACATAAATCATCTTAATTTTGATAGTAAAAGTAATTTGCATGCAGAGGAATTTGGTGCAATTAATCATTTGATACATTTCATTTATATTTCTTCTTGCAGTGTTTTAACTTGTTTTTATGTCTACAGAATATTGTATGTTGCATTGTTAGAGGAGACTGAGACTTCAGATTTTCATAACCAACCAATAAAAAAAGCTATCATGCATATGACAATAAAGCCTTTGAATCTTGAAGTCTGGTTTGCATTGAAGCTGATTGATTATAAGAACACTTTAGATGGGCCCATCTTTTGTAACTGTAGTGAAGTGGATGTTTGAGCAATGCTTGAGTGTTAATGATTATACTATACCTAATCAGTTTGTGATTTCCGTCGATGTGCCATAAACTGTTCGGTGCTGGTACAAAGTACTTCCTACGCCTTCTTGGGTTCAGCTGCAGAGTGCGAATCAAAACTCCACCTGGATCAACACGCCGCATGGATTCCTGGACACGCTGTCCTGTTATATTCGGGGAAATGCAGAGATATGGTGTACTGCAAGTAACATAATGAAAAGTAAAGCATTCCTAAATATGCCAGAATAATGTGATTCATTATCAAGTAGTAAAAAAAAAACACTGCATGGAGGATTATTATAATAATAACAATCCCTTACTTTGTATGCGTGTCCCTCGTGCATTCAGGTACCCCACCATCATTTTGTATCCAGAGTTGGGATGATGCTGTAGAATTTGGGTAACAGTTTCATCCAAACTGTTGCCATCTAACAGAGTTAATAGATCTTGGACCCTGATCATCAAAAATAACGAAACAATAGTAAGTCACAATAAACAATAGTCACCTTTTGCACTGTAGCCTACAATCAAAACACATCAGAATGAGTGTGTTGCTCTGTACTAACCTGCATTGAAAGATTTAGGTGTCATCTGAAACAAATGAGCTGGTCTCTTAAACCTCATTACTATTATTAGGCCTACATCATGTCTGAGGGAATGGTACCTTTGCTTTGTGTACAAAGCATGTGTGTATCTTTGCCCCGACACATGTCTATCTGATGTATTGGTTTCAACATATAAATTGCCTATTACCATTTTAATAAATATGTAAACAATCTATAAACAAGTAGGCTAATTTGGATGGAGAAAATGTAGGCTAATGAAACGTTATCATTACTAAACACAAGTTAATGCGTCTAACAAATGTGTACACTGATATAGCCTACTACGCCAAAACAATAAAAGTAAGGAAATCCAGACAAAAAACGTGAAAGAATGCGGATTAAACCTACCGTATCCCGTTCTGTGTCATCCTCCGACGAATTGTTCTTTCGCACACCCCGAACACCTGCGCGATGTCCCCAGCGGTGTGGCCCCAACGAAGATGTGCTTCAATAACGTTTAGGGGCAACATGTAAGATGGACGCCCAAGGGTCGCCTCCTCTGTTTCCGAGAGGATTTCAAGTTGGCGGGCAACCTCTTGAAGACTCTCAAACACAGCTGGGTTAACATCCACATCCATGTCGAGCTGAGCCAAGTCCTCTATACATCGTTCCACACGAAACTGGACATAGTCTTTTGGTTCTCCGTTCTCTAAATGGTCCGCTAATGATCGTAAATGATCTCCAATGGCTCTTAAATCAATATCCATAAATAAACCTTACAACTGTGGATAAACCATGGATGTATAAAGATAAGGGCTAAACAGTAAAGCTCCTGCATTCGAATCAGCGCGGTTATCCAGGCGTTAGTAGTAGAGCCCTCTGCCAGAAATGATCACACACTCCTGTAACCAATCCTGCTTCAGACTGAGGTTAGGACCGCCCACCTCATTAGCATACGGACACATAAATACATAAATAAATAAATGTATGTCGCGTAAATGTAGAAATAAATGAAAGATATATAATAACGTGTGTTCTGTTTTATTTTCGACTTTTATTTATTTATTTATACATTGATGTATTTATTTCCATATTTATTTATGCATTTATTCTTTTATTTATTTATTTGTGTATTCATTTCAACATTTATTTATTTCTGTATTTATTTCGTCAATTATTTATTCCTGTATTTATTTACGTATTTATTTATTTATTCCTGTATTTCTTCATACATTTATTTATTTATACTTAAGTCATGTTCCGTCCTCCATAGGCCACAGCCACGCCTTACAGAACCAATCAACGCAATCAATAGTATAACACTCATGACTTTTCCCCACACTCGAACACAACTCCTACCGTCTCGTACTCCCTCCACACACACCGGAAAACGCACACACACACACCTGGAAGGGGCGGTCTCTCCCTAACTCCCACCAACAAAATTGCCTAAATAACTTTACAAATGTACTAAAATTGTGCACATCTGATAACTGAAATAACTATACTTGGACACGCTACAATATTATCCTTAATATTTATATTAAAAACATTCCTTTGACACTTATAACATTACTTTGTAAGGTAAGCACAACCAAAATAAGTTTGTAAAAGCAGAATTTGAACACTGTTTCTGTGCTCCTACAATATTTTTACCATTACACCCTGAGGAGCGTACAAGTACACAATAGCGCTCGTTCACCGTTTCAACTGGCATGCTGTGGCATTTAACCTCATCATCATCACACACACACACACACACACACACACACACACACACACACACACACACACACACACACACACACACACACACACACACACACACACACACACACACACACACACACACACACACACACACACACACACACACACACACACACACACACACACACACACACACACACACACACCTTGCGTTTTGAAGACTGATACATCCGAAATGGATGAACACACTTTGCAGCCCAGTTTCCCAGCTTTGCAGTCTATCCACGGGTAGCCTCTTGTTTCCTCCGCCACATCTCCTCCGTCCATACCTCTGGGAAAGCTGAGCTTGAGCTAGTAGCAAGGGCAACGTTGCTAGCATAGCTAACGTTAACGTTAGTGCTAGCATTATCCACGTCTTTAGGCGGCTCTTCTGGTGATGTAGGAGGCTACTAGTAGCAGCTTCACTTGTAGCTTCGGTGCTGCTAGCCTCTTTCTTTTTGTGAATGATATTCTTTTTAGAAAATAAGTCAAGTATAGAATGTTTGCCTGCCATTGTAGAGCTTTCTCGTTGGCGTTCTTGAGGGAAAGAGCTGCCGCCAAATCACTGACACACCCCCAGCTCGCCGCGGGGTCACGACCGTGATGACGAATCATCATTTTTTAAGGAAATCGTTTTTGTTTTTTTATTATAATTACTGTGAAATGTATTATGTTTTTGTCATTATTACAACACATACACACTTGCAACTGATAACACTGGCAATGATTTTATATTTATTAGACTATTAAAAAAAAGATCATGTTCCAAATAAGTGGGGGTACGGCGTACCCCCGCGTCCAACGCCCACTACACCACTGTCCAGAACTGCACAAGTTTCCCAAGGATAACGGGAGATGCTTTATAAAACAGAGAATAAATTCATTTTATTATAATTGCTTTCAGTTAATAGTTAAATAACAATAATGTTACTTAAATTACGCCTTGGATTGTTACTGTAGCTTTAAAGATAAAAACAGAGGAAGCGCAGCTTTCGTTATAATAATTACAAACTTTCAGTAAACAAAGCTTGAAGACGTTGTTTTACCCATCTCAATAAATGTGCGCAGGAATCCTGTGAGCCTACAGGAATCCTCCAAAGAGACTTCACTGTCTTCATCCTCATCCTGTGTGGGCCAGTTTATCTTCTCCAACACCATCTGACAGATTTCGTTTTGAAAGGAGCCCAGTGAAAGCACAATAATAAACAGAACATACAAGAAACTGCAGGTTTTGCTGTGGAGCAGAGTAGTCTAAAGATACAGTTGTTCTATTGGTTTAGCTCCTTTTAAGCAGCAAGTAGCATCATTTCATTTCAAAATATGTTTGCGTAGGTGAATGTTTGTTTTAATAAACTTAAAGCAATGTAGGTCTGAGAGTAGTAAATAAACCCAATTTCTAACTCCTGTGAGTTAGGAGGAAGGATTTGACTGAGCAGCATGAGATCACTTACCCGTGGTGTGCACTGCAAATCAGATGCTCTTGGAAAGAGAAGGGGAATCGTGTCTTTCCTCTCCGTCAGCAGAGGCCAGATCAGTGTCTCTTTTAAACCCCTTCGTAACTGCTTGACTTGTCTGGAGGTTCTTCCAAGGACCTGCACAATATTTGCATCACAGTAGAAAAGCAAAGCAGCCTGATTGATCTAATAGCCCAATAAGCATGTTTTAATACACTATTAACATCCAAATATGTATTTAACAAAAAAGCTCAAATGTGATATGCCAAAATGAGGTCCTACTTCAAAACTTCAACTCTGATTAGTCAGTCTGATTCATATGACCTGTTAAGAATACTCACAGCATGGAGGATCAGTTTATCAAATAGCCATCTCCTGTTGTCACATGTGACTAGAGGCAAATCCCAGGACAGTGCCAACTCATTGATGAGCTTTTTTTCTTCTGATGATAACTCTGCTGTTCCCTCCAGCTAATAATGGCAAGTAGAATGAATTTGATAAGAATCGTTAATTTCTCAATACTTGTATAAACATTCAACTTTGATACAACATAAGAAGTTTAACTTATAATCAGCATGTTAGTAGTTGGTAACCTGTAAAAGCTATGTTTTGTCAAAAAACATCTTATAGGAGGACATCTGTAAGTGTTCTAATAATATTTAATATATCAGTGCATGGTGTTTTATAATGCTTCAGTAACCCCTGCTGGTGCAAAGTGTAGCCACTTGATGTTAACAGTATCTGAAAGTAGATCAGCTAAATAAATAATATCCAAAGGATGAATAATAAAATAGGTTAGAAAAAAATTGAACATACCAACTTGATTGTCTCACGGATATCAAGGTCAACACAGTCCCTAATATCTATTGTGGCTTCTTCCGGGGATCCACCAAAGAGCACATGCAGGACAGCTGGGCTCAGTCCACCTAGGCATGGCCCATCATGGAGGAATGAATGTCCAATCATTCGGCCAGCAACAACAAAGAAGTCACTCTCCAAAAGGAGATGAGAAGTGGAGGGAATCAGATGATCTTGTTCTCCTTCAAAAAGAAGAGTTCCTCCAGGCACTGCAAATATAGGAAAACAGTCAAAGTAAATTGATAGTAAAGTAAAGGACATAGATATTCAACTATCACAAAGCATTAGTAAAGGAATGATCAAACCGCCACTGGATACTGGTTGATCCTGTAGAAACCTACATGTTCACAGCAGCTACAATCACATCAGGTTTTAGGAATACATTTTGTTTTCTGGGGTTAAGGGACAGATCTGTTTTCAGCCTGGAACTGGTACAAAAACACACATAACTTAGTGGCTGAGACCCAGCGATCAGCCATAGTAAATATTTACTTACCAAACTTCATCTCAAAACCAGCCTGAAGTTTTGACATGATGGTTGCAAAGAAATGCCGAGTCACACCATCACCAATGGCTGGATCTCCTTCAAAATGTAAACACACACTACAGACATCAGTTTAACGAAAATATGGTTTGTTCATTTTTTTATCTTGGATTTTGTTTGTAACCGAATTACCCTTAAGTGTGCATGTCAAGGGGCAAGCCCACTCAACATTTGCCTTCTTATAAAAAGTAAGGACTGCTCTTTCCCTTTCCTCTGCACTGTCTCCAAGATCCATAGTAAGACACAAGGATTTTCCAGTTGCATGCTGGCTTAAAATGTCTTCTTTAAACATCTTTGCTGCCTCTGTGGGATCTGGCGCTATTCTCCAATCTAAAAATAGTTTAAAAGGTTTCCAAATTCATATTGGATCAAGTGAAATGTAGAGAGCAACAACTTATTGCAATACATGATGTACTTAATAAAGGATGTTACACACCAGAGAAGCCACTTTCCTCAGTGGGATCGATGTCAACTACCTCAGGAGAAGGCAACATTTCCTGAGGTGGCACCAAGTGTCTTGTGTTCCTGGCCCTTGTTGTCTCATTTCCCTGTGCTCCTGTGAACGTGCTTTCAAATCTAACTTGACTTCCGGAGGCCCTTTCAGTTGTCAACTCAATCTGTACCTCACCGCTGCTCTGTGATGGTCTAGTGTAAAAAGAGGTAATTTCTGTTACTTGGTCTAGTATACTTTACATTACATATCACACTCTAGAAAAAGATGGGCTTATAAATAGAATGACAAGTAAACCAAATGTAACTTTTCCTCAAAACCAACATCCAGAATGTATATCTTTCATATTTAAATGTATTATAGAGGACAGCAGAATATGGCGTAACAGAGGGATTGTTGGAACAAAAAGTACTAATATCTGGCCCCATAATTATAAAACCTCAGATGTGCTGATATGTCAAAAATATTTGACATCCATTTGCAGCATCCCACAGCCTTATGCTTATTGGTTATTGTGTGTCTACACATGCAGTTGCAGTGTGCCTGGCGAATGTGATGTTTAGTTCTGTAGAGAGTAATACCTCGTGCAGTTATTGCTGTGATCCTTGATTCTGGAAAAGGGGAACTCCTCTCCACAGATGACACATTTCTGATTTGGTCCAATTAACACTTTGTCGCCTTCTGATCGACATGCCTGTAAACAAAATAGTTTTAAACTACATCACAAGCGAACAATTATGTTACTGTAAGTCACAGATTCCACTTTAATATTGTGACACCACTATAGAAGTGAGGAACTTACAGGGTCCAAATTCAGGGTTCTTTGCATTGGTCTAATGAAAACCGTAGAATGGCCAATCTGGGTCTGAGGGTCCTTCAAATATCTGACATAGTAACCCTCATTGGGACAGGGGATCACAATCAAGTGGCGACTTCTCGTAGTGCCAGATATTTTTAGCAACTCGAAACCGCCACCGTTCCGCAGTTTTGGATAGGCATCCATCAAGAATTAGAGGAATTCATTTGAATCTGTATGGCTGCCTAGAAATAGATGATACACATAAGAGATCTAACATAAAGATAATGTTATGATTGTAAGGGTAACTCAATATATTTATATATCACAAATGTACATTTACCATAAAAAATAGACAGAAAAGGAAAGAGCGATTGATAATCGTCATTCTAATGACTGACAGACCTTTAAATGTGAGCCGTTTTTCCCCTAAGCCAGCAGCAGCGAGTCTTTCTTTGGCGTATCGGTTGGGGACTAAGGCTGCATTCTTGTCCTCAAGGCAACAGAATAAATGGGTATAAGAATGCAGGTGTGCAGGACCAGAAAGGGTTTGCCGCCCTGCCGTCCTCCTCCCTCCCATGTAGGGGCCAAACAGTCTTGAAACTTCGGCTAGGATCAAGTTAAGAAGATAAGCAATATTGAGTGCAAGGAAATAATGATTCAACGAGAATCCAGGGGGGAAATGTTGGTTAGCGTTAGCATCACACACTATAAATATAATGATCCCTTCAAGCTGGTGGACAGAAACTGAATCAAATAACTTGTCATTGGCGATATAAACTTAGTAAACTGATCGGATTTGCATTAAAAATAGTTTGATGCAAAGACCTACCGTCCACTGGGTGTCTGGGAGTCCCGTTATGTAACGGATGAGGAGGAGGAGACGAAACTGGCGCGTTAGCGGTCCTTGGTGCTGCACAAAACATAACATAGCGCCACATTGGGTACAAAACTGTACATTGGCATTTTAACACACAGATCAGTTTTTTTACATTGTCATATCAGTCTTACACTAGACCAAAACATGAGTCACTTACAGTTTTCAAGCTGGTTAGCCGCATCCCGCAGAAGGTCTGCCAGCGCCCTTCCAGCCGAAGCCATTATTAGCGAGTTGCCGACAATGTACACAGAATGTACAGATGTGACTTGCCACGAATCTATTGCTTCTGCCTGGCTCCAACAATTGGCGAATCCTGCTTCAGACTGAGGTTAGGACCGCCCACCTCATTAGCATACGGACACATAAATACATAAATAAATAAATGTATGTCGCGTAAATGTAGAAATAAATGAAAGATATATAATAACGTGTGTTCTGTTTTATTTTCGACTTTTATTTATTTATTTATACATTGATGTATTTATTTCCATATTTATTTATGCATTTATTTATGCATTTATTCTTTTATTTATTTATTTGTGTATTCATTTCAACATTTATTTATTTCTGTATTTATTTCGTCCTTTATTCCTGTATTTATTCCTGTATTTATTTATTTATTTACGTATTTATTTATTTATTCCTGTATTTCTTCATACATTTATTTATTTATACTTAAGTCATGTTCCGTCCTCCATAGTGGCCGTCAATACCAGAAAATAAAGAGAACGTTTTCGACATTGAAGGCTCGAGTGATGCTATGATCTTGAATAGCGGTGAACGCTACAATATGAACAGGCTTGTGCTTGGCCCACTGGTATTGTTTGTTTATTTATTTAGAAAATTAACTAGCAACGCCGTGCTGTCATATAGCAACTGCAAAGCTACTGCAGCAAAAAAATCCTGGCGCCGCCCATGCAGTGTGCAGATGTGTGTTTTGGCGGGAAAAGCATTGAATGTTAAGCTTGGACCAATGAGAACAGTACCTGTTTAAAGGAGGAACACACTACTTGCTGAAATGATGTGTGTGAGTGTGTGTAAGTGGGGTGTTAAGGGTCACGGAGGACAACAAGAACATATTTATTTACTAAGTGTTTAGCTCTCCCTGTCCCGTTTGCAATGTCAAAATAACTGTGGCCATTGACTGTCCTCTTTTAGTGGCACTGGTGACTTTTTAACCTGCGAGGTGTTGGGCTTATCTTATAAGGTTCGTACAGACAGATGCAGTTCCATTTAACACACAGTTGTGGTGAATGCTGACTGGCATTCATAAATGCACATTTCCCAATTTCAGTTGGTGTTGGTGAATCTTTCTCCAGGGGGGCTCTACCAAAATGTAAGCAAACGTATACACAGACCCAAAACATATGTCATATTACAGCCCAGGGCTAGCTCAAAGACACACAGCACTTGATACAGTCTATTATTTTAGTGCCTGTTTTTGTCAACCTCCTTATTATGCCTACAGATCCTATCCTGTAGCCGTCATTGGACAGCTGTGTTTACTTACCTAAACACGGCTAGTCGCATAGCATCATCCATGTGGACTCTAGTTTGTTCATGTTTTGTTCTGATATGTGCTTTAAGTCACTCGCATCTGTCTGGATCCATGCTGGGTCTGGTCCATAGACTGGTCTGATCCTGACATTTGAAAAAGGAGGCAGGGGAAGCCAAATATAGCACTGGTGTTGCTACAGGTAGTTAGCCTTCTTGCTAAACCAGCTCCTTTGAAAGCGTGTATAGAGGCTTTGCATATGACGTCACGTTACCCGTGAAGTCAGCGCAACGGCCATACTGGAGTACCAAAACAGACACCGTAATACGCCATACCTGTTCAATGTTTGTTTTTTACCGGACATACAATGGTTAACTTCTGTGCCATTGTTGGCTGCGGCAACAGAGGTGATCGAAACAGGGAGCCGAAGTCATTTTACAGGCTGCCGGCGGTTATTATAACACACACTGGGATTAGCACTCATTTATTGACGCTGAATAACGTTTATCAGGGAATGTTTAAATAACCACAGACACCAGAATATACGTAAGTGCTAGTTTTTTTGCGAGTCCAAGTACCGGTTCCCGACGTTCCGGTTTTAACCGGACTTGAACCGAAACTTTTTACAAGTCCAGTACCGGTTCGGCGTACCGGTACGCAGCACTACTTGCCTTACATCAGCATTGACTCTCCCAAAATGTATCATCATGTCATCCACATATAGGTGTCATGTCATGTCATATAGGTCATGGAAATGTAAAAAAAACAAATAAATACAAATAGATGGTCTGCCCTTCATAATAATAATTTTTTGTTCACAGCCAAACATAACAGTATCTTAGGATACTAAGAGAAACACACAAAACAAATACTTATTTCCCACTTGACGGTTAACGGAAAGAAACAAGACAACACCAAAACATCACATGTATAAGGAAAAGAAAAGTGCAACACCCTCATCTGAGTCCTACTGGAGAAGAAGGTGGAAAGCGACACATGATGATAATAACAATAACAACAATAACAATGGCAATGGGACCCGCAAATACAGAGGAGACATCACATCAAAGACATCAAAAACATGAAGGACCAGAGTACATAGACTTATTCACATTCTGCTTCATATAGTCCCATCTTTCTTAATGTATACAACTTCTTTAACTGAAAAATACATATACAATTCTTTAGATCCTTGTGTTGAGAATTCCACAATTGTACACCAACTACCGAAATACACATTTGTTTAAGAGTAGTCCTTGCATATGGATGCTTAAAATGTAATTTCCTTCTGTGGTCTTCCTTGTCTGATCCAAAAACAAACAACTGTTGTAAATATGCTGGTAACATTCTGCTTTGTGCATTACTGATAATGTCTGCAGCTCAGCTGTCTTTGAGTTTCAAGAGTCCTGACTTAAAAAACAGTCTGGTGTGTTCTCTTGAGTCAGCTTTATGAATTATTCTTACTGCCCTTTTCTGTAATATTGACAATGGCTTTATGTTGCTCATATACGTGTTGCCCCACACTTCTATACAATAAATGAAAAATGGCAAAATGAGTGAACAGTACAACATCCTCAATGCCTTGTAATCTAGCAAATACTTTGCCTTGTTTAGAACAGAAATATTCCTAGACACTTTGGTTTTAACATGTGCTATGTGTGATTTCCATGTCAGGTTTTCATCCAGCGTCACACCTAAGAATCGAAATTCAGAAACCCTTTCAATAAAAACTCCATCAATGGACAGTGAAATGTTTTCATCTTTTTTTCTATTAGCAAAAACCATAAACTTCGTTTTATTCAAATTTAGGGTTAACTTATTTTCATCAAACCATCTTTTAAGTTTGACCATTTCATGTCCAATACACTTTGCTAAAATGTTTAAGTCATCTCCTGAACAAAATAAATTTGTGTCGTCTGCAAACAACACAAATTGCAATAATGTTGACGTTTCCCATATGTCATTGATGTTCAAAATAAAAAGTTTAGGCCCTAAAACCGAGCCCTGCGGGACACCACATTCTATGTTCATACACTCCGATGTACTACCAGCAAATTCTACATATTGTTGTCTGTTATCTAAATAACTTTTTAACCAATCTAGAACTACTCCTCTCACTCCGTATCTATGTAAACACACAAGCTGGTTCTCTTTATCCTCTCCACCAGCAGAACAACACGGGGGGGATGCAGACAGGTAGGAGAAAGAGAGGTTACCTAGGAAACATTAACACTCACTGACCATTTGAGGTATGAAGTTTAATACATAACTGTTGCTGTGTATTCAGTGTTAGACCACTACATCCTAACATCTGCTTATGCTATGTGCATTATTAACTGTGCAGTGCTCATGTCACTTAGGATAATTACTGTTTCAAACAATAATCAGATGTTAGTCATACATATCATTATAAACACTACAACACCACTGCTAAACTGTAAAATACACATTCATGCATACAAATATTGTTGTTATTTTGTAGTACAATGTGCACATTTTTGTTAACATTATTTGGTTTATTTAAATATTTTTATCCATACATTATTTTTATTTGTGATTGTTTTTCGACTTTGATTAAAATTGTATTTTATCTTTAAATGTTCTTCTAAAAAGGAGCAATCGTCACAAAACTCAATATCCCCACCAGGATAACTGAAGTAGTCTGATTGTGAAATGTTCAAAGTAGCACTGGTTGACTCAAAATCAATTCTAAAGCGTTAATGTGTTTTACTGTGAACTATTATTGTGGGGAACATGTAATTACTTTATTGCACTTAATTATGACCTAAACCAAACCCTCCAATTTTTACAGCACCATGTAGTATTTGGTCATCCACTGGACTGAGTATAGACATGTCTGACAACACTGCATTAAGTCACCCTAATTAGAGTCTGTTACATCTACTCAAACCGGAATGACTAAGTGTGTGGCACCTTTTCAAGCGTGAAATTACTAGGTGGTGTAATACAGAAATTCAGTTTGAAAAAAGTGATGGACACAGAACATGGGCGAGGACTTACTGTTTTGCCTTGGAGAGACTGGGCAGTAATAGGCTGGACTGGGATCCCTGCAGGCATGGAGAGGTGAAGTCACGCCCATCTACTTCCAGACCATGGGACCCCGGAAGCGAAACATTTACATTGAATTCAATGGAGAGAGAACACGTATCTTTTGATGCCGTTTGAATTGTGCCACGAACTACACATATGATGTTTGTCAATCTTAAACAATCATTTCCATGTCAAAAAAGTCACATTTTGTCGTAAAACTGCTGAAATATAAGACTATGAAAAATACGCTACTACAAAGACTATAAATCCCAAATCCCATTCTGGGTCGCGTAAGTGATGTCACAGGCATGCTCGGTGATTTATAATAAGACTCGTAATTAAAGCGAAGAAGAAGAAGATCTCATAACTGATTTATTCCCTCCAATAAATTATAGATCGCTAAAAATAAATTCACTTTTACAAGATGCCTGTGTGCTTTGTACCAGGTTGTAGTCATAAAAGTGATCATACCACTTGCTCCTTCTATCGATTCCCGTCTGATGAAAGGACCAGGAGTCGCTGGATCAGACATATCAGGTAATATCATAGGTAATATACATGTTGTGCATGTTCATGTGCATAGTCAAGTTAGCTACCTAGCTAGTAGCGACAAGTAGCGAGCACGTTAGTTAGCATTACTTTACTTAGCCTTGTCATATAAACTATTTATATAACCATGTAATACAGTTATGTAGTAGTTCAGTAAAAGTAATTATTTATTTATATGTCTTAAATATCCTTTATTTTAGAGGGGCCTGAGACTTAACATGTTCATTGCCCAAAACTGCACTGTAGTTATTGTGCATGTGACAATAAGGCCTTAATATTAGGGCTGCACGATATCAGGAACACATAACACGATAACAC